ACCCATATTGATCTTCCCAATTGAATGTAAAGTTTAACAGGGGTCGGAATTTATATTCCGTCAAAATCCTTAAGAAGTTGTGTGGGCGAACTGGGGGGTTTGCGCGTAACTTTACTCACCTTCACCAAATGCTGATGTGGACTGCCTTTGACTCCCCAACATCGCCAAAGAACAGTCGTCGAGGTTGTCCCGTCGACCGTCGACTTCACCAGCTTGTAGCCTCAGTGGCATATTGCAACTTGGGGTCACATCAACCATTAACCCCCAAAACAATGGAAATAGAAAAGTAAAACCCTAGTGAAATGGATGTTTATCTTTTTGACGGTTTACGATAATTGAACACGAATGTGTGGGTGTATGACCAAGTAAGCAAATACATTCGTTTGATGTCATTGGGGGAACGATGTGGGTGTATGACCAAGAAAGCAAATGCATTCGTTTGACGGCATTGGAGTAGTTCTATGATTGAAAATAAAAGCCACCACGCGTTTACGACTCCAATAATCATCACCCGCATCATGATGCCAACAGGCTGCATCAAGCTGGTAGCTCAAGCGTTTAAAAGATTTAGTTTCGGCATCCAACATGCTTTCGAACACGGACAAAAATGGCCCCGTGCCGCAACCCCACATGGCGGCCCCAAAAGAACCATCTCTCAGGGTTTCATAGGGTTTCGAGGGTCAAAAACTATGTCTATGTTAATGGGAAAATGGATGAAAATGGTGATAAACCATGGGATTTTGGGGTACCCAACATTTTCAGACAAACCAAAATAGATCAAAACACCTCCAGGTCCAACATTCAAATCAGTCCCAGAGGCGAAAGCCACAAGCGCAGCAGTGTGTGAAGGCCTGGTCGAATCTGGTGGGGGGTTGAACCCTGAATATGGACCGTCTGAATATGATTCAGTAATGGTACCCTCTTCCCTACTTGTGGTACTTCTTTCATATGGACCGTTTGACAAGTAGGGAAGATGATGATTCACCAATGGATATGAAGAGGTACCATGAGGTACCATCTATTTTCAGAAGCCATCTGCTGATTTTCTGCTGGTTGTTCGGCCTCTGGGCAACTCTTCGGCTTCAAAGAAGACAAAGGAGCTATTTTTCGGTAAAGTTGTCTGAGGTCGTTGTAATTTGGGCAAAGCACATCCCGGACGAAGTGACTTTTGAGGCAGAGACTCGTGGGTTCTGCCCTGAAGCTCTCCAAGTATCCAAACCTCCGTGCTGAGTTGACTCTTTTGGGAGGTGTCGGGCTACCTGTGGAGATCTCTTTGACTTACCTTGAAGCATGTGAGGTGAGTCGTTACTCAAAATCAAAGCACACATCTCTCATGGAGCTAGAGTGGCTTCAGAATTTCAACCCCTGCGATTGCTGACCCATAACTTGGATGATCACTTGGATCGCCGGGTGCCCCAACATTCGCGGTGCACCCATCTGCCACTTCCTGCACACCTGGAGTGTCTTAAAATATGGGGTCCGGCCCATCGAGAAAATGAGCTTTTCCGCTTTCAACCATCATATCTGGTCAGGGGATGTAATGGTACATTTGCTGTGGAAGTTGCAGGTATATCCAAAGTGTATGGAATAATGTTCAATCAAAATTATGAGAGGGGGACCGGCAGTGTCGGTTTCCCCAATACTAAACCCTTTTTTGTGGTCCGGATATAGGACAGGCCTGGACTTAAAGCCATATTTATACTCAGTGCACTTCATCGCAGAAAGTTATGTGCTAGCCTGAGAAAGTTTATGGCATATACCGTGGAATCAGTGGAATCCATAGTATGAAGTGCGTTCCAAACTTCCAAATCTCCTTGCACCCAGCTTGCCTAATGGTTCCTGGTCCTTGTCTTGCAGGATTGTAGAGTATCAGATAGTACAATAAGCGACTGTTGGCTCCTAATGCTCTTTGGTCTGATACCTTTGTATCCGCAACAGTAAACATAACTTCGGAACTTCAAGCTGTCCCAGCACGAAATCCCGAAGATTTCCAGGAAGGAGTTCGTTCTGGCACTGATGAAACATGATGAAACATGATGAAAAGCACCATGTCACAATGATGTCTGGCAAAAATAGGATGATAACTCTTGGTTTCACTTACCTGCTTGTTCCACTTTGGTTTACCACTCCATTCCTGAACCCAGTCGCCTGCAGGGCGCAATCAACTCGTCATCGGCTTGGCCTTGGAAGCTGCAGATCAGCTGACCCCAAAACCATGTTTCCATAAATGGGGGATACCCCAATAGCTGGATGCTTTATAATGGAATCCAGAAAATGGATGAAAATTGATGATTTGGGGGTACCCCAATTTATGGAAATTTCAAATTAAGGATCATGAATCAATGATACCCATCTTCCTACAGTCGGCAACGCAAGGGGTGTGGTCTCCGGTCTCGTGTCTCAGAGAATGGCCTAAACAGAGTCGGCACTCCGCGTTTTGCCTCAGACTGCTGGGCCAACCCCTCCCTGGTCAGACATTTTGCTGATGGATGGATGTTCATCCAGCCAGATATGCTATGTTTGTGTCTTTTTGCCGGGTAAATCACCATTGAATCCCCACGTCCCCATCGTCAACATGGTACCTATTTCAGAGGTTTTGATCCAAAGCCCATATAGAAGGAAACGCAGAAGCAACTTTGAGGATAACCAAATGCTGCAGCCACCTGCAGTTGCCATTTGACTAATTTGACCACTCAAAAAGAAGATCAAAATATGTGTGGGCAATTCTTGCACCAGCATGCCCGCATCCACTTTTGATTCACTCCTTACACCAATAGCACGTGGATGCAATGACAAATGTCCTCCTAAACAATGCAACGGACTGTAGATGTCTCTAGTACCATCCCCAATTAGACATCCTTTTCTGGTGCTTGTCCCCAAGTTAAGCTGCTGCTGTTGCATCATCTACTGTTTGATGTATCTTTCCCAAGCTCAATGCACCCTTCACCCTTCACCCTTCACCACCCCTGCCTGGCTCTAGACTGGCGGAAGGTCATCGGCATCTGAGCCATTAGGAAATCCCAGCATTGGCGAGTGAAATACCATGGCTGTAGATGTGAAATCAAATATTTCATCAAATCATCCCAGCCATTGCTGTAGGCAACCATGATAGTCAGCACTCAGAAGTGTACAAATTTGATCCGCGACTGTTGGTTGAACCACGTACGCCAAACTGGAAATCATCATCCCATTTTCAAGGGACGGAAAGATTGCTGTTTGAACAACCAGGAATCTGATGCGGGGTTTGTTCTTGGGCCCAAAACTGGTTTCCCACCAGAAACGAACCAGTTTGGGAGAATCTGGAGTACCTAAAACAAAATCTCTAGGATCATAGCTGTTACAAACCCATCATCTTCATGGTCAAATCCAGCAACTGATGGTGACCCAACGTCCCAACTGGGTGGCCTCAAATTTGGCAGCTGCTGCACGGGTGGCAACGCTGTCCAAGTCTCACCGCCGGGTCGGGTTGAGCCGCTGAGCCGAGGTGAGTCGGAGGACGAACAGTGAGTCGTTGTTTTACCACCCATCCCAACTAATCAGAAATGGCCATTTAATGCCAATAAATGCCATTGAATCCCATAAGAAATATATAGAAATATGGTTTTCTCTGAAAATTCTTGGCAGTTACCCTCCAAACGGCCAGAAAAAATGCAATTTTCTCTCATGGGACTGATGAATGTATAATCGATTGATATTCATTTGAAGTAGGGAATTTTAGCACGTGGCTTGACCGCCGTAGGACCAATGTTTTTTTTCACGGCTGGTTTTGCTCAGTGCTCCGAGGCCGGACCGATGTGTTTGAAAATTGGGGATCCTTTCATGAGAGCAACTGCTGTCATTCACAAAAAATCTTGTGACTTTGAGAAAGAAAAGTGGATGGCATATGATGGCATGATTTTGATTGATTTTGATTGATTTTGGGTTCCCCGATTTTGAATCAAGATGAAGGTGAAATGGCCTAGCACCTTGCCAGCTAGGCGCCAAACAATCATCTATTCAGAGGGGAGACCTGTCACTTTCCCAGTCATGACCACTGTCCAGGAAAAAACAAAAAGAGCCTCCTGTGCATTGATACAGCATCCACAGGAGTTTCCATGTTGCTTTGTCCAAACATAGGAACTCCAAAATGTAAAGAAACGGCCTATCAGCCTATCATCATCTTCCGCATTGAAATTGGAACAAAACATGTGGTGATTTGTATTTTCTTCTAAGAAGTTTGTCCAGAAGTCATGGTAATTAGACGGTATTAGTCATAGTAATGTTTATATTTTCCAGCGAAAACTTCTGCACAGCTGGCCATGGATCCTCTCATCTTCCAGGAGCCGCTCAGCTGCTTCGAAGCTGACGCATCTGTGCCTCGACCAAGATGCTGTGGTCAGGACTGTCTGTGTGGACATTTACATACTGTATAAATGTGTCTATCATGTATTAAAACCTATAGAATCATACAATATTATCTATCATATATATATACACAATCAATATTAAAAATTAATATAAATTATACAGTAATCATCCCCGTTGGATGGAAGGCAAAAGAAATGTTTAAAACTGCCATGCAGTTTTTATATGATGGCATATTCGCAACAAGCAGGTGCCCTTGAACCCCACCACAATAAGCCGCATGGTGGACCCTTGGAGGGACAGGTTTCTGTTCCTTCCGGCAGACGTTTCTTGCCCAAAAAAAAAGATTGACTGCAAATGGAGGTTTCCTAAAATGGGGGTTACTCCCACATATCCACATCATCCATGTTGATGGGAGTGTCCATTATAAACAATCCATTTTGGGGTACCCCCATTTTAGGAAACCTCCAAATCTAAAGTCGTGCCAGCTGCGGAGACACGGCGTGTAGACGACATCAAGGTGATGATCGACACAGCCACCAAAGAAACGCAATCCACCTGAGTCTGCTCTGAACAGCTTCACATTCTATACCTACACTGCTCAAGATGAGTTCTTGGGTGTGTAAATTCCAAAACCTGTCTGTAAAAGGGTTGGACGTCTGAACTGACCAAGTCCAGTGAAATCTCCCAATTGCCCTTGAATGGTCCTCAACCAAGGCGCTGTGTCAACCGAATGCTGAAAGAACAAAACCTCAGGCACCAACAGACTCTGGGTCGCGGAATCTCGTTTTCTCAGGTCCAAGGATCATCCGCATCTTATGTTGATATGTTGTGCTAGACTGTAGCTGTAGCTCAGACTGGTTGACTATGTTGACTGGTTGCTTTAGATTGGAGCCAGTGTGACCCAGAGAAGCACCAAACGACGCCGACGGATGCAACACTTCCAGGCATCAGTCGTGCGTTTTTTTGAATATGGCATTGTCCGAAAATGGGGTATATGGTATACCAGTATACCCCAAATAGCCGTTTGCATACGAGAAACGCTTGTAAACCAATCTGTCTAAAAGCATTTAAATAATTTTGCCATGTTTTGCAGTCGAAACCAGTTGCTTTGCAGATGAGAGGCTGAAAACAACAGGCTCAAAATGGCTCTGGAAGTCATGATTAGCGTGAAGACAGCAGGTCCAAACCTGGCTCAACGAAAGTTCAGTGGGGCCATCCCTCAAGAACCATTGGTTAATAGTGAACAAATTAAGAATATGGATAGAGCAGTGAACCCATAGTAGGGTTTAATGATGGCTAATGGTGTTTCAAAGGTCTCATGAGTAATCGTCAAGTGAACGACTATTAGGTTGCCATAAAACTACTGGTCGGTGAATAGATATCCCTAGCATAATCCCCAAGAAACTATTCGCTGCATAACCCCCCAGTTCATAACCAGGGAATTCCACATGGCTCAAGTGATGATCAAGGCATCCCACCAAGCGATGCCAGGTCACCTATCAGGGTAGCCACACCAAAATACTTGGGGGTTGACCGGGTGACTTCTCGATATTCATACCCCCCGACTTGCGATGGTACCATTGAATGATTTGAACCCATCCCTGTATGGACCTATCTACAAATTTTGAACGCAGAAATCCTGCGGTTTAGCTCAGTTTAGCATCATTTCTTCGCAAAGATCGCAATTCGGGGATTCTGGGCATCCCCCGGTTTGAGATAAATGATAAATCCATGTAAGACCCCTTCCCAACCAACGCATACCCTCCGGTAATCAAACATGGCAATGGCAAATCACTCATGTGTAGTTGAACTACAAAAAAAACTGCATACCATGGTGATGTTTCGCTTTCAGCTTTTGATTCCTCATCAAAGATAAAAAAACAAAATGAATGGTTTCAGACCTGAACAATGATCAGCCTTTCTGGTTCCATTCTACCCAATTCTGGACCCATACCCGTTCATTTTCCACGAAAATTGTGGATCCAACCAACACAAATTGGTAAAGGACTACTCGTAGTCAATATTCTGGGGATATCTTCATATTGGTGTTTCTACTATATTCGCATATATTGGCTATATATATATATATACATATACATTCCCATTTCGGAAAAATCTGGGATGCTCATGGATTTTCATGCCATGCCCCACTTTGGGGCATGGAAGAACCCATCTTCATCACCTGTAGCCGACTGAGATCCCGCACAGCCGCACAGTGAGGACACAGGCGAGTGAGCCCACAGCAGCTGTCAAGGCAAAAATCCTGCAGATCATATGGGAAAATCATGGAAAATCTACCAGAAACCATGGGTGTTTCCCGATTTTGACCATTCATGATGCTCCTCTCAAAAATGATGAATGGGAACTTGGCGACTTTTTACAACAAAAGTGTAATGCACATCTGTATGTCTGTCTGGATGCTGGCTGGATGGCTGTGTGTCTGTATGTACGTCCGTCTGTCCGTCTGTATGTATGTAACGTATGTATGGTTGATGAATCCGGGTGGGATGCTAACCAACAAGAACATGTGGATGAATGCTCATAGCCTGTTATTTTGTATAAGTGTATATTGGGGATAGTTGGCGGATACTGCAACTGACAACCATCGTTGCAACCTATTTCCACAGGGGCTAGGCCCGGTACGGGGACTATCCTGGAGACTGATGGTTAATCATGGTTAAACATACATAGTGACATAGTGTTGCCCGGCTCAAATCGGAATTTCAAACCACACCGCATTTTCAGACAGACCCATGCTGTCCCCACACCCGTGCACTACGGGCCAAGTGGCCCAAGGAAGAGGAGGACTCTTGGCTGCGCGACCATGAACCTGCGAAGCTGAGGCTGGGTAGAGATTCAGGCCCGCCCAAAAAAAGGACTGGATAATGCTGGATATCTCCTGTGAAATAATACCCATCCTGAGATGTCAAAAAAAAACTGGTGCCAGACATGGCTGTGAATCAGTGTTCGAGCTTGATACCCGCAGAATACGGAGTCACTTTCTTGTTGAACCATGCGGTGGACCCCGTTTGACGTAGTAAACTATCCGGGCCAATATTTGTCACCATTAATCACCATTAACATCCATTAACCAATATTTGACGTGATTAATGGTGACTAATGATGATTAATGATGAGTAATGATGATTATATAATGGTGATTAATAGGAAGAATCCTTGTGACATGAAATGTCAATCCCTTCAACGCGCCTCGTGGCTGCCAGCAATTCGCCGCTCGCAAGCGTCAAGGTCCATGCCAGCACGGCAGAAAAGATTTCCTGGGGAAGAAGAAAATATAAGTCCAAACATGTCCAAACCATTATTACCAATGTTAAACCACTATTGACCACTATTGACCATAGGTAATTCAACAACAACAACAACAACAACAACAACAACAACAACAACAACAACAACAACAACAACAACAACAACAACAACAACAACAGCAACAGCAACAACAACAACAACAACAACATCTGAGGTGAGCACCGGAGTACATAGCATCAGAACGTCCACCGGGTGATCAACCGAATCAACCAAATCCTAGCTCCGGATATCACTAGGCTCACCAGCCAACTCTCAAAAGTCCAAGGATCCATGCCCAGCAACATATGCCCAGGCTGCAGGTTCAACTTCTGGTAGATGGAATCCTGCGCTGACTCTCCCTGCGGCCCTGTGGCTTTAAAGATACTGTAGTCTGTCTTTTGACTTCAGTCAAACTTCACACTTGCAACATGATTCTGGAGGTCGGCAAAGACACAGCAACCCGATCCTTGGGGAGCTTCACTTGCAAGTCTCAGGGATTCTTTGCGCAGAAGTACGGTAGACCACTTGAAATCGTTATCAAAAACTTGAGAAATCATGGAATTCAACCCCAAATCCCCTCCAAATCAACCATCTGATCCCACCAAACCATGTCGTCACCACAAGTCCCATTTCCTCAAAGTTGCTGGTGAAGGAATCCACCGTGACGTAGCCCACCATCATGGCGATCCCCACCGCTGAGGTCTTCAGGGTGCTATGCTCCATATCCATCTGGTTGAACTGAAAATCCCAGACAAAAAAAGCCACCAGGCCTCAGGAGGAAAAACATTTGGGATATTCACCCAACCAGAAACTCC